GTCTGTGTGAATTCTTCAATTCCTGTATCGAATCTTCAAAACCATTACCGTAATTGAGGTTGCGCATGCTATCAGGTTTATGGTGCCGAAACCCGAATTACTTTAACCAAAAAAACGGGCGGATAGCCAGACGCTTATTTTCACGCTTCCGACGCTAAAGTAACCACCACCGGCCACCACCAGAGAATCAACCTAAATCGGCTGATCACAAAAACGACAGGGCAGTTTGAACGGAATCGGATCGTGCATGACCAAAGATGAGAAAGCTATAAAGCGTCACTTAAAAAGAATTTTTATAGTACTGGCAAATTTTCAAGTCGTTTTTCACTTACTTCCGGTAAGTCACTACTGTTGCGATCATCTGAACGAGTGTTGGGTACCGAGTCTAGTCCGTCCGGCTTCTGGCGGGTTTGACTCCAAACCTCGGTATCACGTCCCACTTCATCCAATGCTACCGTGCCAGCTACTCGATGCATCTCCTTTCCAGGTGTTAGAATATCGCCTCCTGGCGGAAAGGCTGCCTTTAAGTCGGATGGCAGGGAGGGCACATGATCCAATCTATGACGCTGCTTTATGCTCTCAGTAATTGGATTTTCACTGCAGTCTGTGCTGTTATCCGTGAGCATTTTGACGCTGTTGGTGCCTAGGTGTAGAATATTTTTGCGTTGGCGGCCGCCCCCCGAAAACAGTAGCGAACGGTGTCTTTGTGTTTGTGATGTCAATGCATGTGCGTTCTTCTCGCTGGATGCTCCTCCCTGGTATTGGCTGCTATCTCCGCATGAGATAGTAGCACATATGCTAATCCAATTGGCTGATATGTGGCGTCGATTTGATTGGCTCCTACGCCCTCAACGGGCTGACCAGACGCCCTAGCCCACTTGGCGTAAGGCGATGAATCATATGCTTCACATGCTCGTACGTCTTCACCTTCGTGTGGCGCGTCCTCAGGCTTACGCCCTCCTGCTGTCGTTATAGCAACGACAGCGTAATAAACGGCTTCGTTCACCTTCGTCCACGAGCGCGACCGGGGGTGTGTGTGAGTGGGGGTGTGTGTGAGTGGGGGAGATGACATAAAGCTTGTCAGCACCAAGGCACGTCCCGGATAGCCACTTCGAGAGGCCGTAAGCAGCGGCTGAGGGTGTGGAATTGTGTGGCAAGCAAACTACTTAACATACGCCGCTACTGCTGATCTAAGGTCACGAGGCATTAGTCATAGTGTGCGATGAATAGATTGACATCAGCGCGGCAACCTGATGGTCCAATTTCGGAGGACCTACTGATCTAAAATCTGCGGTACTAATGCCTTCCTATAAGAAATACACGTTTGTGTAAGGTCACGGTTGTGCGAAGCTCATTTAGAGCGGGTATTTAGTCTTCTTGACGCATACATCGCCCTCCATTAGACGCGTTGGGAACTTGCAAATGTTCACAAAGTGTGGTCCACCATTGTAGGCTCGGGGCTTGAAATCCCAGATTTTTATCTTTTAATTTGCCATACTGGCAGCACAGGTAGTAACCTTTAGCTAGAGGCTGATAAAGTTCAGTCCAGACACACGATAGGTTGTGTAACTGATGAAATCCAAGGATTTTTACCAGAAAAGCCTTGGTATGTAAAAAGACATTGTAGTTTACCAAGTAATATTATGTGCTAAAGTAAAAGTAGTATTTTTAGAAAAACAGAAAATTTCGAAGTGGAAAATCAGAGCTACTAAGAAAACTCAACTTTTAAATGTAGATGTGGTGTGGGTGAATAAAGCAGCACAAGTAGAATTACGTTTAAAATTAATCCCTATTGAATTTTTTGGACACAAATGCCAATGTATTAGTGCAATGTACAGTAGGTTTGTAACCGAACAGCCCAAATTTCTAATTCGTAACAGAAGAGTATTTCCTCAGACCTTCCAGTTGTTTCTTTGTTTCAGCATCTTCTGAGATAAGCTTGGCTTAGGCAACAAGCTTATCACTTGATTTTGCCGATTGGGAGGTCACAGGAGCAAGGTATTTCGTAAGCTGACATGTGGATATGCCGGCTAATGACTAACAAATTTAAATAAATTTGTCACGTGCAGTCGTGAGTATACTATCTTGTGTACACTGAAAGCAGTTTCCTTCCGTCACATTTCTCTGTAATTATTTCGAGAGTTTAAATGCGACAAGCTTCAGACTGATCTTGAAATTCTGCTTACTATTTTACAAATCTCAGGGTTTTTATTCGCTTGTCTCTTTTTACCAGTATTGTTCTATCCGTTTACCAAAAACTTCAAAATAAGATATTTCTTCAAAGAATTTACCTAAATAATGAGTTTGTAAACATTCTTTATTATACAGCTGTCTATTTGGGCCATGGTTTTAGAATCGCCCAAACATATCAACTCCTTACAGGGGCAAATGACCGTCCACGACAAAATTCGCAAATGAATACGCCTAAGATTAATTAAAAACTTCCTATAATGAGTTACCTCTTGAAAAAGGGCTCTAGTTAGATACTTTGGTGTCGAATCTCTGTGTAGTTTATCTTTTTTGAAGATAAAGTCGAGACGAAAATGGGAAATGCTGACCAGTTTTTTGACTTCCTCTAAAGGATACATTTTCTGCTGCAGGTGAAAGAACTAAATTTTCTATGTATACCGGAGCAGTTTTCAGTATATTTTGTTACTTCTAGGCCCCGTTTTTTGATTTCAAAATCCCACCTGTGTGGCATAGTACATGTTCCGATTGTAATAAAACTGATAACTTTCTGTCTGTTCCGTTTAAAGTATTTATATTCGTTGATTCTCTTTTTTATATTGAAAATATTTAAATGGATTCGTTTACAAAGTTAGAGAAAACTTATGACACCTCATATAATGGTTCATTAGGGGTTCACATTTTGGCGTAGTAAAACTACTTGTGGTCTCCTGAGTTTATTCCTTATCTTTATGGCACAAAACTTAACATATTTGCAAGACAACATTTTGTAAACTGAGTTCTCGCTTCTTTTCCCGACCATAATGCGTTATCTCATAAGTACACTTACCTTACTTTCATGAAGGCAAAACGAAATCTTCTGTTGAGTGAATTGATTTGATTAAAAAGTGTATGGTCTTTATTAATGTTCTTTTATAGAACAACAAACACAAACAAAAAGGTTTGGTCAGCAGCGTTTAATAGCGCAGGAGATTTCTCGGTTATAGACAAGGGTTGAATTTGGCCCACTTCTGCCCCTATTTGCGACCAGTTTACTCATCTGAAGTGAAGTATATTCTAGTATAATTACCCAATGCAATTTT